GTACCCGTTGTTGCTTCCAATTAAAATGTAGTAACTTCCGATCCGACAGGCAGGGCAAGCCGTCGAAGGTGCGATGTCGACCGGCTACGAGAGAGCATAGGGAGCAGTCGAAGGGGAGGGAGATCACTTACTGCTGAAGGCCCCATACACGCTCTTGTAGCGTGGTGGGATGAAATTTGTACGGACGCGGTGTCTAAGGACACCTATCATACATGCTCGAGTAGCGTGGTGGGAAGGCCCAGCTCCCCTATTTTCCCCCAAACAGGGGATATGCCGGGGTGCTGCCGAAATTTTCACTGAAATGTACAAAGACTTGAACAATTTGAAGACCTTCGTGGGCAACAATATAGAAAACTTGTACTTGAACAGAAGTGCACAAAATTTGAACTAAATGAGCAGATGACCTGTACGATGAACAGTGGACTTGTGGACCTAAACCTGAACAAAATTTAAATGATTTCTAAAGGTCAAAATCAAATAAAATAAAATCAAATCTTCTGAATCAAATTCCAAATCCAAAAATCCAATTTTCAATACCCAAACCTATGCTGCTGCTATATGCCAGATAACATGTATTCTATACGTATCTGATTGACGACTAGCCTTAATCGAGAGTTCTCTCTCGTTATCGGGAGGGGTAATTAACTATAGGGGCTTGCGCCTATGGGAAACCAGAACTCAGATCATAAAGTCCTCACAAAATGAGGGCGAAATCTCTGAGTAGTGTCTTATCTACGAACCCATCTGCCTTCCAAAATTTACCTCGGAACATATCCGTTAAAACTCCCTCGCTGGAATAAAAGAAACGCACGGCGGGGAGGCCGGGGCCGAATTTTCGGAGCCCACAATTAGTAAGAGGAGACACATCAATATGAGAGAGTTTGTCCGATGAACCAATAAAAAAGTAAATAGCCCACAACCATAATAAATAGTTGGTATCATTAAAATTAATTGTGATACCGATAATGGAGTGCTTTGAATTATTGAGCAGAGATTAAGCAGCTTTGTCATCATGTGAGTGAGAATTGAAGAAAATTAGAATGGACTCAAATTATGAAGATGGATAACAATTGCTGCCTTAAGTAGCTTGCGAGGGAGAGCAAGAATAGCATACATTTATAATGGAGTGTTTTAAATTATTGAGCGGATATTAAGAAGCTCTTCCACCATATGAGATAAAATTGACGAAAATTAGAATGGACTCAAATCATGAAGATGGAGGAAAATTGCTGCCTTAAGTAGCGTGCAAGGGAGATCAAGAATAACATTCATTTATAATAGCATATGTGGGTGACAAGATGGATAACACAGATTAACTAATGATAACCCATGCAAGAGTGGATGGGATTGTCAATGGGGATATACCAAGGCTAATCGAGATAGCAAAGTAGCTCACAATAGCATAGATGAGTAAACACATTGTAGCTAGTGAGCGCAAGGCCAGTGCACACAGTGTGAGCAAACATGAAGGGGCCAGGAAGAAATGAGAGCAAACAGTGTGAGTGGTGCAGGCAGCATTATCAAGTCAACGGTGAGTGGTCAAGCAAGCATTGCACAAGTAGTCAAGCGATCAAGCGCTGCGAGTGAGCACTTTAGGTTCTTGTAATGTGGGTAATGAATAAGTAGATCCAGGTGATATTAAGAGGGTTGGTGGTTAAAATTTTCCTAGTTTGAAAACATGTTGATGGAAAAAATTATCTTTATTCAATAGAAGTAAACATGTATGATAGAAGAAAGAATATAATATCACAAAGGACCGCCAAATAAACATGGACCACTAACCATGATAAAATCACTTCCTTACAATACTTTTTTTTAAAACTTCCTTACAATTCATGATAACACTAATAGTTAAATCTAAAAGACAATTATTGTTGGAGTGCTTATTGAACAATTAGAGCCAATTGACATATGTTAAAAGTAAAATTAATCATGCAAAGAAATCTCATTAAACTTGAATAACTTACATATAGAAATCAAGAAATGGGTACAACTCTTTATAAAATATCCATCAATAAAAAGATCAAATCTATTTAGCTAATAGCCCAATGACTACATATACTAATCAACTTTATGATCAAGGAGGCTCTCCCAACATTGGGCTTGGCCGACCAAGAAAACAAGCAACATGGGTGGGCTAAGATGGTGTAGTATAATAAGGCAGCCTAGCTTAGATTAGGTTAAACCACATGATGCCAGGTGAAGATCAGCATGGACGTACAAAGCTAAAACTAGACCAAGCCTATATAATGGATTCCAATACTAAGTTGTAAGCAAATTCCATGAAATGGGATTGGAGCACAACTAGTTTCACAAGAGAATATATCCAATCAGCCCATTCAAATTAATATCTTTATTAAAAAATTTAGGTTGAGTATTAAACAAGGATAATGATGTGTAATAGGAGATTAGATTGTTATAATGATAGATGAATCGTAGAATGTATCTAGGAAGTTTTGTATTTTGGCTTAAACATTTTTAAGGTTAATATGTCCATTTATGGCCTTTTTAATGCTTGGTTTGTGAATCCTATTGGGCATATTAGAAATGTTACCTCTTCCCTTATTTTATGGTTCTTGTGGTTGGAAAGGAACAACTCTTTGTTCAATAGTGTTAAAATGAACTCTTTAAGGGTTATTAAAAATGTCAAGGATAAACTGCTCAAACTGTTTTCTGTTAATTTAATTTCTATGAAAAGTTTCAAGAATTGTTTTAATGTGGCTCTGGATTTAGGGATCTCTTTGAACTTCCCTCTGCCTCCTACTACCTCTTGTCTGGTTCACTGGGTTCGACCTATGTTGGGTGGTTTCAAGATGAATGTGAGTGCCAAACTTGAGCTTAATAATTTTGGGTGTGGTGGCATCATCAGAGATGGCTTTGGTAAGGTTTTAATTGGCTTTGCGGGCCTTTTAATGGGAACTATTCTCTGGCTATCTTTGCTTCTATTCTTTATGATTTAAGATGGTGTTTGACCCTTGGTATTGTCAATATCACTATTGAGACTGAGCTTAATTTTCATATTCAATGTTTATTTAATGAGTTGGACTTAATTTGTCACCCGGAGGCCTTTTATACCATTAGAGACATCAAAAACTTGATGAACTCTATCAATGTTCAGAATTCCTTTATCCATAAGGAGGATAATGCTTGTGCTAGCTGGTAAGCTTGTTCTGGAGCTGGGAAGTCGAATTTTATTGATATTGTTGAAAGCAATGCTCCTGCTGCTCTTAAAGGTCTTATTAATTTGGATAAAAGCTCTTTCCCTTATGTTAGAATTTAATTTTCTTCTGCGTGTGTCTCCCTTTTTGGTCTGGTGTTTCGTTGGTCTGCTGGTGGTGTTGGGCTGCTCGGGTTTCTTTGTTTTGGGTTCTTCGGTGTTTTTGTTATGCTGGTGCGTATGGGTTTGTGTTATCTGGTGGTTTTGGATTCTCGGCTGGGTGTTGGTATCTGGGTTTTCCTGCTTTGTTGGGTTGGTGCTGTTGGATTGGATTTGATTTTTTTCACTGGAGGATCTTTTACTGGGCTCGATCAATGCTGGTATTAATTGTTTAATTTGGATTTTTGGGACTATTTTGGGGTTCTGCAGTCGTCCTTGTTGGTATAAGATGGATAATTGGTTGCTCCTTTATGTTATTAGTTGGCATCTCATCTATGTTTTGGATCCTATTTACTGTGGTTCTTGGCTGTGTATGGGGGTGATTCTTATTTCCACTGGCATGTGGGGGTGACTCTTTTTTTAGCAGGTGGATCTTGGTTCAGTCTGCTATGTTGGGAAGTTATATTTTGGCTGGTTTTGTTGTTTTTCTATGGGCTGTGACTTGGTATACTAAGAGTTATTTGTCATTTTGCAGGAAGAACTTATATTTGAGTCATTGGACCCATTTTGTGCAGATTATTGCTCGTATCAGTTTTGGATCAGCGAGCAAGTGCTGAGAGTTTTTGTGAGCTATATCCCATTTTTTGGGTGTTCATCCTTGAACACCGTAGAATGTATCTAGGAAGTTTTGTATTTTAGCTTAGCAGGGACCTTGAGCTCTTAGGGTTTTTGGTTTTTTGGCTTGTAGCTCGCCTGAGCAGTAGTAGAGCTCAAGGTCCCTTTAAGGACCTTTTAATTTTTTACAATTATATCAACGCGTAGGCCCCTTTGTGGGTTCCCCCTAAAAAAAACTTTTTAAGCATGTAATTAATTTAAGACTGGATAATCTTGTTAATTCATATAATCTGTAAACAAACAACTTATTTTTCCATCTTTTTGTGGAAAATTAAGTAAAAATTTTGAAGGAAATCAAATAACTCATCCATATGTTCTCTCTTTCCAATACTTGATTGGAAACAATCTAGAAGAGGAAGGAGCAATAAAAGCCATGCCCAATTTAATTTCATTCTCTCTTAATTTTAATTCTATTTTTCATCTAAACCTCTCAAAATATCCCAAATACTGAATTGGTTAAGCCCTACAAGATCATACCAACCTTGGTAGAATATTTTGAAGTGCCATATAACCCAAGTCCACAACCTATAAAACCCACTGATTCTACACATCATTCTGAAGAATCTACTTAAAAGCTAAAATTTCAAGCACCTCTGATCTAGGCTTACATTTATCAAAACTGATACTCCAACATAGGCATGATGGTGGTATGAACTCTTAAATTTTAATTAAAAAAGGATGAAAAAACAATGTTTTCTTTTAAGTTGTTCTTAGCTTCTTCTTGTTTATTTGTTAGCGTCTACTTATTTAAATATATCTTCAATAGAACTCTAAGTTGTTAGCATAAGTCTGGTAATCCATTTGAAGGAAATGCAAAGTTTTTCCAAGCAAATCCCGACACTCTTCAAGAAACAAAGGAACTCTTTTAAAGAGGGACGAAAACATAGTTGTACAGTTGCAAAAAACACAACTAAATGAGTACTGAAACATGTACATCAACGCATGACTAAAGCTTAAACAAGATCGCAGTTACCCAGGGCAACTGCAGTGAAGGTAATAAGCATCATACCTGAAGGAAGCGCACATATCTTTTTGTATAACCCAAGTCATTAACTAATGGAACCTCCAATGCTTTAGCTAACTGGCGAGCAGAAGCAACAAAGCTGCAGGGAGATCCAGGAAAACTTTTAATATATATAATATTCCACACTAAAAGAGCACATCATAGACCAAAAAAAGGTCATATAGTTGAAACAAAAAAAAACACAATTAAAGATGCATAACAAACTTACTGTTTTCTTTTAATGAACAGCTTAATGTTAAGAACAACTATATAGGACTCTGAAGCATTCAATAGATTTTGATATAGTTACATATGAATACACCTTATTCTAATGTAAACATAAATTAAATATACAAAAAAACTCAAAAAGGTGCACCCAAACCAATATAAAAAATATATATATAATTTAATGCAAATATTAAGTTCAGATATAATGGAACAACTTGCATGAAAATTTTAGCATAAAAATCTTTGTAATTTTTCCAAACACCATCAAAAGCTATAAGATAAAATCTGAGTGGTGATTCAAACAAGAATCCAGTTGGTTGTGAGGCCCCTACCATTTGGGTAACCAAGAAATGACTGATATACAACTAATATGCCCTATTTGTTCTTGGTATATATCCATAAATTACCATTAAAATTGCATGCAGATGATATTTGAACAAATAAGATCAAAATGAACAACTTGACAATATTACAAATGCTTGCAAGCACTAAGCTGCAGAATTAAAATTGAAGAAGAATCAATTTTTTGTCAAGCAATCAGGTCATATTATATCTCCTCCTTACCAAGTCACTAACCACCCTGTATGACATTAAGAGAATACAAAAATATAAAACTTCTATTAATCTCTTCAAAGAAAATTTCAGTTGCATTTCATGACAAACTCACATCATGATCATGGACACCCATCATTTTATCATCATTTATACTATTCTATGGAGCAACATAAAAAGTGTGATTATCATACCTAATCTATGCTGACCATTATGGATGGCATGTCTCAAGAAAGAAGTCATATAAATTCATGATCAAGAATGAGATGTGGATCGTGCTCCACTAATAATTGTATGATAAAAAATTATCAAGTAATTGTATGATAAAAATTTATCAGGTTTAACCTCTATTCTTGAAGTATCACCCTGTCAGATAATGTGCAAAAGAACTCCTTCAGTTCAGAAAGAAACAATTAATGTAGTGCATACCAAATCTTCTTAAAAGGGTGCTCTTTTTCCTTTCCATTCACACAGATCTTCTCCATTTTTATGTATCTTTGTACAGAAACTATGTATTACTTTATCTGAAATATTCATTTCCAAACCAAATCAAATCCACATCAACTCATGAAAAAAAAGAAGGATAACATTAAGGGCCAGCAACACAGATTAAGGTAATTTATGTCCAATGAACATCATATCCAACACAAATGAAAGAATTTTATTATTTTCATATTATCATTATAATTATTATAAAGACTACTAATAACTATTTATAATATTTAAATATTAATTTTTTTATTGGGAGTTGATATGAGAGTTGAATAAAAAATGCTATTACAATATATGATCAGTATATTATCACTCATAATAATAGCAACAATGTTATAGCACAAACAATCATTATGACATGTTCTCTATAATTATGCATAGAAATTGTGTAATAAGGCCTACAATCAGCTTGCCTCGATTCTGGAAACCAAACGACTTGCTAATGAAACAAAAAAAAAATATTTCAGACCATTCAAACACATTTTTACCGGCTTTCTATTTTCTTGAATACATATAACAACAACATCAAGCCTTTATCCCACTATGTGGGGTCGGCTAAATGAGCTTTTTTCTCCATTGTGTCCTGTTAAGAGTCAAATTGTCATTTAGATCTAATAAAGAAAAGTCATTTCTAATACTTTTTAACCAAGTCTTTTTAGGACTACCTCTACCTTTCTTAACATAGGTCAAATCTAATACATCTACACTCCTAACCGGGTCATCGGAAGGCCGCCGTTTTATGTGACCAAACCATCTAAGGTGACTCTCTCTAATTTTATCTGTCATTGGAGCTCCTCCAACCTTTTCACGTATATGCTCATTTTGTATCCTGTCCCTAAAGAGTAAAGCCATTCATCCACCTGAGCATCCTCATCTCTGCAACACTTAACTTAATATTATGCTTCTCTTTTAATGGCCAACATTTTGCGCCATAAAGCATTGTAGGTCTAACCACCATCTTATAGAATTTCCCCCTAAGTTTGAGTGGTACTTTTCTATCACACAACAAGCCCAATGTATTCCTCCACTTCAACCATCCAACTGAATTATACTAATAATATCACCATCACTCTGAACAATAGACCCAAGATATCTAAAATAGGTACTCTTATTAATGACTTGATCGCTCAAAGTCACAAACCCCCCACTAGATCTAATACTACTAAAATTATACTCCATGTATTCAGTTTTAGATCTACTCAAACGAAAACCTTTAGGCTCTAAGGTTGACCACCATAATTCAATTTTACCTTCAACTACCTCTTTAGTCTTATCAACAAGAAGAATATCATCAGAAAAAAGGAAAATATAAAATAGCTTCTACACTTGGCCTAAGAAACATGCATGTCATGAAAAAGAAGAGGATAACTTACGAATTACAAGTATTTTGGAGATCTTGCAAAGAGAGGCCAGATGATGAATTTTGAGAAGCAGTTTGGTATTTCTGAACAACAGTGCCAAGCTGACTAACCTATACAAATAGATAAAAAGAAAAATTCATTTACTTCTAGATCATCAAAACAAATGTGGCGGCATGTTTTTGCAACCATACCAGAAAACATAAGAATTCAGTAGCATGAGTCTGACACAATCAACCAGTAATATCATACCTGGGGTATTATCAATCTTCTGGGTATAAGTTCCTCATGCCTTCTAGCACAAAACTCCCATGAAGCTATCTAGACTTTCAAAAATACAAATTAGTTCTAAGGATTCCCGATTCAGTATGAAGTGCTGCAAGAAGTGTGTTTAAAATATGTTGTGTACCTTTAGATCTGAATTGAAAATTATTCGCAATTGACCATCACGCACAACACGTAATTGTTCAAATACACTCTCCTGGACAGCTTTGGCATAATCTAGGACAATCTGACCCGATGTATTTTGAGACTCATGAGGCATGTCCACATAAAGAAGTTCCTCTAAAGTGCCACTGGCATATTTAATTTGCAATAGCCTAGGTAAAACCTCGACAGTTGCCTCTGCAAATAAATAAAGACAATAAGGTTAATTATACCAATAAATTATGCGGACATAAGCAGTTGAATTAATCATTATTAAGTTCCTACATCTAAGCAAGAATATTCGAAAAATACATACCAAAACCACGGCCGGGCTTACGGTTGCATAATTCACAATGCCACACATCCTGAAAATTCAAAGCATGCATTTAATTACAAAAATGCAAAAAAAAAAAGTTTTAGTTTGCAAGAAATGAGATGACAACAGGATGTGCAGAATAAATGGCATGGATGCAACAACAGCAACGCCGAATTTCAAGTCCAGTAAACCTATCCCCAAACTAAGGCTTTATTTGGGACGGCTTTCATACTGCTTCTTAAAGCAGCTTTTTAGTACAAAGATTAAAAATTTTGTACTAGAAAGCTGTTTTAAGAAGCAGTAAAAAAGTTATCCCAAACAAAACCTAAAAGTCTATTCAAACTTTCAATACATAGAATGCCACCGAATATCTTTTTAATAAAGAGTATCAATCGCCTTCATCAAGCGTGTTATTTATAAAAAAAAAAAGCATACCTGTGGAAAAACACCGATAGTTTGACGACCACTTCCATAAAGAGAAACACACCATCTCTTCTTTGCATTTGGAGCAAAGAATTCTTTCACAAAATTCCTCCAAAATTCAATATTGTTATCCTGGATATAACAGCAGAGATATTGATTAAATTCTTGGCAATATATATGGATGTGATAGAGTAAATGAATAATAATTCACCCCAGAAAAGGCTATTCAGCACAAACATCCACTCAAAAAAAATATAATCAGCATACTAAACATTACTCCTAAAGTATAAACTGGAAAATAGAATTTATAAATGATAAAGTTAACCTACTTCCGGTCTGCGTTGCTGGTTATACATGTACTGGGTCAAACGCCTTGCACACATTCCAGGCTCATACGTTGTGGTTTTCATTTGAGGTCTGATTGGAAGACCATGCTGCAGCTGTTGTTGCAATTGTGCCCGTTGCGGAAGGGCCTTAAAAAGTTGTTGTTGTTGTTGGAGTTGTAATAACCTTTGTTGTTGCAATAGGTTCATTTGTGCAGCAGCATTAGCAGCATGGGGTGTCGATCTTGACATTTGCAACAATTGCTGTTGTGAATGTTGTTGTTGATGTTGTTGTTGATGTTGCTGCAAGTACAATGAAGAATCTGTATGCTGATGCTCCAACTTCACTGGAACTAAACTTCGCACAGACTGTAGCTGTTGAGGTTCCATTTTAACAGGACCAATACTTCGCATGGTTTGCAATTGCTGTCCAGAGAAACTCTGATCGTTAGAGCCAATTTGCGTCTCCAACTTAACCTGAGCCATACTACCAACATTTCCAAGCCCTCCTCTCTGCTGCTGGTGCTGGCTGTGAGGAACCGTGAGCTGCTGAGGGAAGTTCTGCACCATATCCAGTTGTTGAGACTGAGAATGAGAATGATCACCCATCTGGGTCACTGAAGGGTTTTGCAAATGCTGTCCCTGCAATGGACCAGTTGGTGAAGGAAAGGATAGTTGATCAGGCTCTGCAGAACCGAGTATATCTACAGAGCTGTTTCCCATACCCCCTCGCTGCTGAGAATTCATTTGCTGGGCAGAAATCCCAGCACCAGAATTAGGCACTCCATTTCCAAACGAGTGGTTGAGGAGAGACGATACATTCGAGATGCCACCAAGCAATGCCATAGTGTTACCATTAGCAACACCATTAAACTGTGCCCGAGGGGAAACCAAAGAAGAGAAAGGCTGCTGAGAAGGGATGGAGCCCGGCTGCGCTCCTAGTAAGCCAGAGTTTGTCCGCAGAAGAGAAGAAGGCATGGACTGGGCACTGCCAACTCCAGTTGGTGGTCCTGACGGCACCATTCTCCAGTGAGACAAAAAAAGCAGTAGAGCTAACTTGAGCTACCAAAGCACTGAAAAGAAATGCCAACTTCTGTTCGTGCCAAGGACTAACTTTCCCTTAAAGAATCCATTGGGCATAACTGGGGAGAAGAAAAAAGACCAACGTTTCCCTTTTCCAACTCCTATCAATGAGCCTGCAGCCTCGCCTCTCAAAGCCCTTCTTCCCTTCAACCTTGTCCAGCCGCTTAACAGCAGAACGAATCGTATATCCAGCGCCAAAATGAATACAATAAGAATTAGGCACGAAAAGTGCGAGAATCAAAATGGTTAAAAATTAGATCTTCCTGCCACAAGTCGATACGCAGCAGTCGGAGCAACCAGAAGAAAAAATTATCCCCTTTCCTAGTTCCTCCAGATCAATCTTTGCATTCTGCCACTTCGCCAACTGTTCACAAATCCTATAAAATCTCGAAAACCCCCAAAACTAAAAGCTCCGCCCCAAAACCGCCTCCAGCAACCAAACCGATCTACCCGAGCAAATTCAAGCCCGAAATGGCAATCCAAAGTTCCAATAAACTCAGTTCCTCTGAAACATCTTACTGCGAAATGAAGATGCTCGGCACGAAGAGCATAACCAAAACATCCCAGAATGATTCACAAGCGCCTCTTCTCAGCCCAAGCAGAACAAAAAAAAAAAAACAACTATTCATTCAGCAATAGTACCTCGTCCTCCATGCCCTCCGCTGCTCCAGATTAAGACGATAAGTAGATGATTCCTTCGCACCCCGGACGCCTTCTTTCTCCCTCTTCGCGTCCTTCAACTCTCTCTCTCTCTCGCGAGGGTAAAGGGTAACAGAGAATACAGGGGTGAGAATGCTTGGACTCCTTGCGGACTTCAAACTCTAATGAAATACGATTAAATCTATGCCAATTGGATATTCATACCGGTTGTTCTTTGGTCCTCTGTTTCTCCCGGTAATAGGCCGCTGCCACAGGTCAGAATTGCTGTCCGTACAGGTTGACTCTATGCTTGCATTCGGATGCCGGCTTCCCTAACAATACCATTTGTGATCACCAACAAGTGGTTATATGATTGGAAGTTGTATTTTGTGGTCCTAAAATAATCTTAAATAATTATATAAAATTTTTTATATAAATACATAAAAAAACTAAAATCAAAGCTTTAAAAATTATATTGGAGATCGAGCGAGAAAAAAAAGAGATTTAAGATTCAATGATTTGATTGGAGTCGAATTAGATAATGTAATAACTATTAAAAATATTTAAATAATAAGATAAATTTGTAATAATAGATCTTAAAATTTTTCAATTTATTTTAAGGTAATTATAATACATAAATAATTATAAATTTAAGAACTTAAAAAATTATTATAATTGTTTTATTATTTGAATATTATGTTCAAAAAAAATTAAAAACCCCCATAGAAGCAATCCACCATACACATATTATAAAAATTTCTACTAGTTGTTTAATCCTACACATTTAAAATGTTTGTATTGTGTTGTTTATATAGCTTGCTTGTACTCATAGGTTAAGAGCTCATATGTGGTGGTGCAACCATGTGAGCATGATTTGTTAGTGCTTAATACATAATAATATAAAGTTTTTTTATATTATTAAATAAAATATGTTATATTTAATAAAATATTCTATGTTAAATTAAATTATTTAAATATATTATGAATTGAACCAATCGAATTTTCAAAATCGGGACCGGTTCAATGGTTTGCCAGTTGAACCGACAGTTCAAACCGTTTCTCATCGGTTTGATGCTAGATCAATTTTTTATGAGGACTGAACCGGCAATATGACAGATTCACAATGAAAACAGCCAAATAGTCTCGTCTAAAATAGTCTCATCTATTATATCGTGTTAAGATGATATCCTTACTACAAGCAGTATTAAAATTTTAGAAAGAAGGTTTATGTTGATTAGATGAAGATAGCATCGTTGCCATCATCAAGGGCTATAGGGGGGTTGCTTAGATATGTAGTATTCCATAAAATTATATGCTATGTATGGCACATTGGCATTATAGTTTGATTATTTTGAATTATAATAAGCATAAGTAATGCATCAAGATGATTTATTAACAAATAAAATAATTTATCATATTTTTATTTAAAAAATAAACAAAATTTTAATTATTTATCCATTTTTTATATTTTTTAAAATTATAAGATACTCCAAATTTTTATTTAAATGACTTCTAATATCAATTTATTGTTTACTAGAATAACCGTGGCAGTATAGAAAGACTAGCTAAGAGATTAACATTCTAGCTTTGCATGAAGACACATCACACACAAATAAGAAAAGAGAGCAAAAATTGCAAGAGACACCAGAGTTTTTATGTATAGAGCTTGGGAAAGGGAAAAATCATAGGGTCTAACCTAGATAGAATGAATCCACTACTATTTGTATTTGTTTGCAAATGAAGCCCTTACTTGAGGGAAGGCATTGATATACTGTAAAGAATGTATTTGTTGGTTGAAGTTGGAATGGACCTTTAATAGGAATCTGACATAAATTCAAGTGTTGAAGTTAAGAGTCAAAGTTCGCATCGATAACAAGTATCAATTATATAAGTGATGGCGTGTGTTGGTTTTCTTAGCGATGGTAGATGATGAGTTGATAGACATTGGAGTATCCATGCGATGATGATCATAGTATTGTAAGTCATTGGCCATTGTCGAGCAACGATGGTGAAAGGACTATAGTTAGGTGAAGATGGTCGAAGGGTCATAATCGGGTGACGAGCAATAGAGGATGGAAGGACCATAATCAACGAGCAATAGAGGCTGAAGATCCATAATCGACGAGTGAAGAAGGTTAGAAGGATTGTAGTTGAGTGATGGTGTTCAGAGACTAGGGTCGGGTGACAATGGTTCATGGATCATGGTTGGTCGATAGAGATCCTGGGATTGTGGTTAGGTGACGGTGATCTAAGGATTGTAGAAGGGAGTGATGGAGGTCGAAGGATTGTGGTCAAATGATGGGCAGGCAGTGGTGTTCTTTAATCCTTAGAGCCTCAAAGCTCTATTGAATCTCAAGAGAGAGTTCACGCTCCAACTCCAAGATCCTCTCCCCATATAGAGAGAGTGAGGGGCCTATTTATAGAATTTTGATAGTTTCATACCCATAAATATGGCAAAAATATGAAACACTCCATCAAACAAACCACATTGATTCTCATTGTTACCAAGCATTTGTTTCATAATAATAATGATATGGTAAAACACATAAGCACATTTAAAATAGATTAAAACTATTGAGTTTTAATAATATGGGTCAAGACTTGAGACAAAATATTAAATATAAATTTGAAATTTGATTCTATCTTTATTGTTAATGGTGGCAGAAAATTTGATATCAATATAAGTATTATACATGCTGGGGATATTGACTATCAATATGATGACTTATTTCATTGGAGATATCCTAGAAAGGAAGTATATATCAATAAAGGAACCCATTGAGAGAGTATAAAAATTTAAATTCTCAAAGATACTCTATAAGGGAAATAAATTGAAGAACCTATAAGATTTATGATCAAGTAAGCCAAATTGTCAAGGTGAACCATTTGTTAAAAGTATAAATAGAATTATCTTCTTGAAGATCTCTTGAAAAAAATCATGTTAAATTGCTTCAAAATCAGGGTTGAACAACCCAAATTTATCCATGGTCACTTCAGAAAGAAACAATCTCTTAAGGGATAATGGAGCGAGTCTCTTAAATCTCTCTCAAAAGGGATATTAATTAAAAGCGTCAAGGTCTATAATCAGAAAAAATTTGTTCATCCACAATTGTATCTAATGAATGACTTTTATTTGCATAAAAAAGTCAACAAAATAATACTAGTTGATGTTACATAGCAAGATGACTTTGAAATAATCATGCTAACTTCATAAGACTCCAACAATTCTCTTCATTTTCTTGAACCTCTAAATAGCCCTTGGAGATTTCTCAAACATATCTGGAGAACACCATCTCAACCTTTGGACATGTTGATAGAAAATAAACTTATAGAATGATAATAGGATTTCATTTGGCAAAATAAAAAAGGAAACCTCTTAATCAATTTAAAGACTTCATAATTCAATTCATCATCCTTTCAGTAGATTTTCCCTTAGCTAACCCTAATGTAGACCTTTTTCACACTTAACATTAGTTAGTCTCAACGGAAAAAATCAATGTTATGAACATTTAAATATATTATAATATGATTAGTTACTTATTGGCGTAATATAAGTGATATTGAGATTCATTAAATAATAATAATTGATAGTGAGATTCATGAATTTAATTTGTGCAGTTTTGCCAAACCAACATAAAATTCCTAATAAACCTTAGGGCTATTTTGTGATATTAACCAAATAACTCTATCACCTAGCAAACTCTCCTCTATAACATTACAACATCAAATCATAGATGTCTTAATCATGGTTGACCATTGAAATAGGTCAAATGCTTTGAGTCCTGGCTTGATCCAGTAGGATCTTGTTAGGTCACTATTGAATTAAACCTTAGAATTGGAATAGTTGCTAATGGTCAACCATTTGGATAGGTCCCAATAGGCATACAATGAACTCATAAAGGAAATTTGACCTTTGGAGGTGTGACACCTCTAAATTCAGTATTCAATTCTACATTTTTTAACAGAATAGAAAAATCTGAAGAAGGGAAAGAATAAGAGGGGTTTTGAGAGGAAAGAATAATTTTTAAGTCACTCGGGTTATTTTTAACCATCAACCCAGTTGGAAAAGTTATCCATAACGAGTTAGGTAACATTATACATATGTCAGTTATTTAAAATATAAATTTTTTGTAAATTTTCTGATTAAATTTATATTTCCGTTTCCAAAAAAATAAGGATAATTTTACACTAGAAAAACCTTCACGTTGTAACTTTTTATATATTATATAGATTGAGATTTTGAGCATTTTTAATATTTTTTGAAAAATCTTACTATAGGCTTTTAAAAATTAGTTTATTCTTATTAAATAGGAAATAATCTTGAATTAAAAAAAATGTAGTGCTATTATAATCTTAAAATTTTATTTTACACAATCTCTAGTTATTTAGTTAGGTTTTGAAACTATGCATTTTTAGTCAATAGGATTTTCGATCTGTTGTCTACCGTATAAAAAAAACTATAATTATGAAATGCATCTAATTATGCTTAAGCTACTATAATGTGATTAAATATGTATTTATTCTAATGAATTATATGATATTAAATGGTTTTGATATGAAAATATGTCAATTAGAAGATAGTAGGGGCCAGAATCCTTTTTAGATTATATATGTGATTGGGAATCTTAATATGAAAATATGTCAGTTGTGAGTCATAATGGGCTAAAATCGTTTGAGATTCTATTTAAAAGAGGGAATAGTCTATTGGGAGTCATAATGGGCCAAAATCCTGTGAAATTTTGCATGGGACCAGATAAATATGTGATATGAATCAGTTTAATTAACTAGTTAGTATTATTCTTTGAATATTTCGATAATTATTATGCTCTTATTATTACTCTGCTTTTGTTCTATAGCTATATATATTATATAATATATATTGAAAAATTAAGAGGATTTTATGGATGAATTTATTTGTAGTGCTTTGGATGTTTTAGTAGCTATGTAGTCTATATTATTTAAATACATATTGGAAGAAATCTAAAATATTAAAAACTAGATCTTAAGATTTTCTTATCATAACTCAACACGATATGATCTCTCCTATAGGGTTGGATTGTGATAAGTTTTTTGTTGTACAAAGTAATAGTTTTAGAAATATATCGTAAAAATAAAACTATAAGAATTGATTTGCAAGTCAAGTGGGGTTGTTTTGGTTTATCTAGCTATTCATTT